GAAGTCTTCAAAAAGATTTTTGAGACTTACAACTCGCCCCGTTCCGTTCGGAAATGCCTGCATGGATTATTTTTTTCAAGATGATTCACGTGCTTATCACATCAGCAGGAGGAGGTGAAGGAGCGACCCGGCTGACACTTGGACGCTCCTTCACCTGCTTGGAATCTTGGATGCCAAAACGGCTCAGGCGGCTCAGCGTCCTTGCGAAGGGAAGACGGATTACACACTTCACAGGGGGTGACATCCATGTATCCCCTCTTGTGAAGTGTGTGGGCAGTTTAACCGACCCCCACCCCTGGCTCACGTCGTCTCACTTCATTTACATCACTCTGCAACTCTTCCAATTTCGAACTCAACCCAAGTCAAGCGAAGAATTCCGCGTCCTGGCCATTCCCAACAAGATCATGCCTGGGCCTATATTCAGACATCGTTCAACCTGCGTCAAATGGTGTCTGAATACGTCCAGATGGGCCCAGCTTAGTACGTGTACATCAAATCGAGGGTGGTATTTGAAACTGACGTTAGGAATTTGTCTAATTCGTTTTTGTTAACAAACTCGCATGCTGCTAGTTTCAACACTAACCATCTCAAGCTTTCAGTTGCAATTGTTCATTTACTTCAAAACCAACATCTTGATTCCAGCGTTTCCACCGCCCACACCTGAATCCAGTCCCTCAAGATCTTGATCGTGGTATTTGTCGAGTTTCACGCTCTTTGTTCTTCGGATCTCCAAACCATTCTGGGACTTCTTTCTTTGTTTGTTCCACAGTCGATCCCGGTCCACCCAAGCCCAATTTGTAGAAAGGTCAGGTATGGATGATCTGATCAATGATCTTTTTGAAGACGAGATGATCGTTGAGGAAGATGAGGTGGCGCCCAACGACACTTCTTTACAACGTGAGTACCATCAGTCTTTCGGCTGTCTTTCCTTCGGAGCATCTACTCAAAGTGTTTCATTTCTACCCACTTGCTTACATTGTATTATTCCGATTGTGAACTTCCTTTTGCCTGATCCAGCATCTCAAAGTGCCACGTCGCTCGCGGGGTTGGGTGACTCACCCCAGCCCGCTCCGGCTACCCTGTTCCGACCGCCTCAACCACGCAACACACCTGTCTCCGCCTCACAACGCCCTTTGGCTGGCCGGAATGCAGTGAAAAAATTTGCCGACCTCCTCAAACTGAGCAAGGAGAATGTCGAATTGGTGCAGAAAGTTTACGAGGTAAGGTTTGCTTGGTCTGGTGCTACATTGGAGTCTCGAACCTAAGATCCTAACCATTAACGACTCGGGTGTTCAATTTACAGAACACCCTTCCGAATGAAGAATATCTAGGTACTCTTGCTTGCCTTGTTTTTTGTTCTCAGTTCGCGGGTGGATCTGGGTCAAAATGGGTACCTGGGCGCCTGATCCGAGTGAGCGCCTCTGCAATATCTTGTTTCATCGTTTTGATGCTAGATCTACTCTATCTGACTCTACCGCACATACCCAGACCCTCCTCTGTATGAATTATTCTTAGGACACTTTCAAAGGTGCAATTGGCGAATTCATTTTGAGGCCCAGCCTCCAAGCGTTTAGCAGGACTGTGGCGGCAAATCACACGACTCTGGTGGATAGCTTAGAGGTCTTAACGTTTGTAAGTTTATACTGCTCAGCGGGGATTCTTATTTAATATGCAACTTTGTAAATTCACCAAGTCCGCCTTGATCTCTAGAATTACCTGAAACAACTTGACCCCGAAATTGTAGATGAACAATGCGCTGGAGATTACATCGCGGGGGAGGCCTGTATTCCGGGCACCGCGATGTACTCTTTTATCAAAGAAGCGTTGAAGAACCAGCGTAGCAAGGTCCGCTCTGTGGTAAGGCTTGTCTTCTGAAGTATTGACCCAGGTAACCACGCTGATGCCTCCACCACTAGCTTCTCACCAATATTCTCGGGGTCAAAGAGGATAGTGCTCTCACCGTTCTGTCTGCGAAATCGGTCGTCCTTCTGGTATGTTGGGCATTCTTCAACTTGTGAAATGCCGCAGTTAAAAGAACTGATCATCGATCCCATCGATTCAACAGGTCGCACGGACGTTTATCCCCAAGTTGAAAGATCTGGGGGACAAGGCCTTGATGATCAAGCTGGGGCCTGAGAAGGTCAGGTGGATCATATTTATGGTGAGCCTCCCTGTTTTCGTTTTTAGTGGGACCATCAGACTGACCTGAGACTGGACACGCTTATCATCTTAGCGATACGTGACAGCTTACCACCATCTTAACCACACTGAAAACAAACGACATTGCCAGTGGACCATCATGGACGAAGCTTTGGCGGACCTTCGCGAAAGGCCTGACAGCGATCGACCCTTGTAAATCCTTTCCTTAAATACATTGAATGCACGAGCCCTGATTGACTCTTTCTTTTTTCAGGTTCCTCAATGAGATTGTGTGGTATGATCGAGAGGCCTTTAATGGCAAACGGACCTGGGCGACTATCAAAGCCTCAGACCCCCTCCGAGCCCCCGTCCCGAGTGAAGTTCTGGCAAGTTTACAGGCAAATCCAGGGGGTGGCTCTGGCTCTGGGGATATGGAGACGGAGGAGGTAGACGACGGTGGAGGGGATGAATGAAGGACATCTTTGTACTTAGAATGAAATCGACCAAACAAAGGTCTTATTAATGAACTCCCTATTCTCATCCCGTACAAAACGAGCATCCAAGCAAGAGAGTGTTATTTGAGCCACACCGAAATGATTGCGGAGCTCGCATTGATTGACCGTGCACCGGCGCAATCATTTCGGTGTGGCTCATGGACCCATTGCGAGGCAACACACAGCGATGCACCGTGACTGGGGCGTGTTTTGCCTGTATCAAAAACTCACGCGGTTTGTTGGCTCGCGGCTGCGTGTCCGGTCAACACGAGGTTGATATCACCCAGGCGTGACATTCACGCCTCTACCACGGGGCGCAGGACGTTTCGTTCCTGTGTGAGGCCCACGTGGCCACGTCGTCTTCGGTCCCAGCGTGGGTTTGACGCGGAAGGGCCCTGCCAGAGAATTCCACGTGAATTTCACGTGCTCACCCCTTAGTGGTGTACACTACGTCACGTGTCTCGATGGAACTCTTGGGTGACGTTGTGCCTTTGGCCACCCTCGTCAATCCTACCTTAGGCTTTACCAATCTGGTCACTTTCTAATCCGTTTCATACAATACCCAGCAAAGCTTTAAAGATATAGTTTCTCCAACATTGACAAGTTTACCCAATCTTGAGGTCCTTGTGGTGCGCTTTCCTGGTTTGCGCTTTCCTTTCTCTTGGGTGTCTCTTAGAGATCCAGACCCATAAAAGCTAACCCTAGGTTTCCGCCCGAAGTGACTGTCCAGGACTGTCCCACCCCCCCACTGTTGAGTATTCAACAGCGAGTATTTACAACCTAAAAATTAAAAACCTAGAGTAGATGACGGGAATGGACTGAATGGATTGATTTGTCAAGTAAGAGCATCTCCAATGTGGCTGAATCCGAATACATGTACAGCTCAGTATTTCCCTCGGCTGGACAGCTGTAATTTTTTTCAGATGACAGCCCCCTGCAACGACAACTGAGCTTCTTGCTCAATTCCCCATAGGGTTCATTTGAGGTTGAACCCCCGTCACCACATGTCTTCATCTACGTAACTGGTCGATTGCACCTATCGTGTTCCACACAACACATGTGATCAATTGAGCTCACCTCACGTAAAGAAAGAGAAAGATAGTCCACGGTTTTTTATTTTTGGCCCAATAGTCGTTGGGATACCGGGATTCAGATTATTCGGCCAGGTCAGCAAATTTGCTGACCTGAGCATGGGAGTGTGTCATTTCCCAAAAACCGAGATCACACGGGAGGTTCCATGTGGGAACTCGACCTCGCCGTTGGATGATGTTTTTCTGAATAACTTCAATACAGGTTACGTTTCTGACAGAAACGTAACCTTTAGTCATTCAGATTGGGGAGCATTGGAGATGCTCTAAAAACAGATGCAACGAACATTTTGTTAGTATGTGATCAATTCTTCCGCTTCGCTCGATTTGTTATTCTTTCTGTTTCCAATAACAATTTTTCTCGTCCTGCGTTTTTCCCTTTGCCACGTACAATCACGTTCTGTCTTAGCTTGAGATCGCGATCTGTGCCAACGGGACGGCCCGTGACGTGACTTAGAGCATCAGCACCGGGCCTTGTAAAAATTTAAATACAGGCCGTTTTACAAAGCCGTGAGAATAAAACTGAGGCACCGGACCTTGCAAACGGCCTGTATGGTTTACACGACGCGTATAATCATACCTTGAACTTTGTATAATGGACTGCAGCGTATAATCCTAGAATCGCCCCAAAGGACCAAACGTCTGAACTTAACCCACCAATATCGGACGTACAAAGTCCTACCGTCAAACAAAACAAGCACCTCAAGCCCGCTTGGGCAATGTATTATTTGGACTTTCCAGCTTTTGCAAAGCCTCGGTTTCGCCAAAACTTTACAATGTTCTGCGAGAATAGGCATACACGTTCTTGTCTGTCAACTTGGTGTCATACAGCGAACGAATCGGGCCCTATTTTACAAGGCCCGGTGCTGATGCTCTTAGCGGACGCAACATTTTGTCTTTTGGAATGAAAATGAACCATGGGAGTGAGTCTAACTAAGTCCCAGTCATCTGCCAGACTTCGGAAGCAAGTTCTGACATCTGGCAGCAGGCTAGAACTTGCTTCCGAAGTCTGGCAGATGACATGGACTTTGTTAAGTTAGGGAGTGAGTGAACTTACGAAGAGGGGGTCTCAAATCTTGATTGTTGGATCCAGAAATAAACCGTACAACTTATCAAGTTCACTGTTCAATTCAGAAGGTGGGTCAGAAACAGCCAGAAAGTTCGTCGTGTGAGCTCAATGCTCACGTCAGCAACGAGTGAGAATGTTAAGTTAGTCTAGTGTGCAACATGCGAGTCTTGATTTGCGACCCAATGTTCTTCGAGCGGTCGAACGGCTATATAAGGCGACCACCAATTGATTTGGCCCTCATCCTCACCAAGCATTCGAAAACCGTTTCAATCTTAAACTCATCAAAATAACATCGTTCTTTTCAATCATCATTTCTCATAATGGTTTCCTCCAAGATTTTTGTCTTTGCTATTCTAGCAGGTGATTGTTCTTTGTGTTCTTCCCCCCTGTCGTCCATCTTCAATCAAACTGATGTCTCTGACATGCCATATAGCCACCATCTCTGCTGCTCTCTCGGCTGATGAATCGTAAGCAACACCCTCTTCATTTGTCTCGTGAAGTTTATTGCTAAGCAGAGGCTTTGTGGGACTATTTGCCATTTTCAGTGCCGCTGGCCACGTCCTTCAACGACGAAAAGTAAAATTCTCAACCCCGCCGCCGGGGGTGACTAAAACCAAGTAAGTGAAGACTATCAGCATGACTTTGAACTTTTCATGATTCTAACTTTTACAAAAAAATTGGACAAAAATTCGTTAACTAGTCGTTGCAAGAGATCGTACAACAGAGAATGCTCATGAAAACCTAGGGTTTGAAATTGATACTACCCATGATATGTATGTTTTGGACACGCCAGTAGTGGTCTGGTCAGAGAAATCCTTTGTCTCTTGCTCTCTTTGTTTCGGATATTCCATGGTTAAGACATCTAAGATCTTGTTTGTTGGTTGCTGGAGGAAATATCAGGCTCTACATAAATAGTCGAGTTGTTTTTTGGCTGCTCTATCCTCATTATATTTTCTTAACTGTCTTTCTCTTGTTCCTTTTTGATTTTATTTTGTTTTCACATTGGCAAGCTTCATTCATGGTTTTTTTGCAAAAAGGAATTCTTTGCTACGCTGGTTAAATCTATTGGAAATATAACGGTACTGCAAATCGCATCACACTAAAGACCTCACTGCTCATCCTAAGCCTCGGGCACCTTGGCTCGAAAGAAGCCTACGCCTGACTCGGAGGTACTTGAGTAGGTGCTCATAGGTGCTCAAGCTCGTCGAATGGGCCCTATCTGTGCACCTCTTGGTATTTAAATCTTGAAGGATCTCCCGACAGGCATCTAAAATCCACATGGAATTTCTTTGGGTTGTCCTTGAAAAAAAAACATGTTTTTTCTTGGGATATACATATTGTTAGATGATGGCCCTCTGAACTTGTAGGCATTGTTTGAAACAGTGCCTGTATTCCCAAACATAGATTTAGGCACTGCCTACATTCTTTCCCTGGTATCTAGGTGCTATTTTTCTTGTGTCTACATCAATTTTCTTCAAGTTTGTAATGTGGGCGTCAAGTTTCCTCAAATATGTGTGTGTGTCAAGCAAGTAGCTGCCTATTTCAGCATTCTCATGCATTTCCAAGACCAATTGCTCTCCAGAAGAGAGATTTTGAGTTGGGACAATGATTTTTGAGTTACAATATCTTGAGTCACAAGAATGCATTTTGAGTGACAAAAATGAGACTTTGAGTTACAAGAATGGTTTTCAAGTCATCATAAAATTTAAATCTGGACTGCAATAGGTGCCAATGCTTTTGGTCTTTGGTCGGATGCTGTTATTCCCACATGCTACATAATGGTAATTAAATACTTCCACATAGGAAATTTCTCTCATCCTTCCAATTTTCTTGCTTCTGGTCCCTTTATGTGAATTTCAAAGGAGCAAAAGTGCTGCCTGCAGATTTGATTTACAAGAATGCATCTTGAGTTATGAGAATGATATTTTGAGTTACAAGAATGCATTTTGAGTTACAAAAATGATATTTCAAGTTACAAGACAGCTTTTTGGACCAAAAGAATGATATTTTTGTCACTCAAGAAGCATTGTTGTAACTCAAAATATCATTCTTGTAACTTGAAATTCATTGTTGTAAGTGAAAATATCATTTTAATACAGTCAAACCTCTGCAATATGGTCCTCAAAAATCCAGTATCCTCTGCTAGATGGTCAAATTTTGACCCACCAAGTTGGTCTTCCAACAAGGATCTTGAGTCCTTGACTCTTGAATCCAATAATATCAGCTATCTTGTGCAAAAGGTGTCGGCCAAGTGTACCAGATTTCAGAGGTTTGACTGTGACTTGGAAAGCAATGTTGTATTGTTGTAACTTAAAAAAACCATCTTTGTAACTCAAAATATCATTTTTGTAACTTGAAAAGCATTCTTGTGACTCAAAATATCATTTTTTGACTCAAAAATCATTTTGGTAACTGGAAAATGTTGTAAGTGTTATCCCACACCAAAGGAAACATGTAGGTACTGTTTGGCAATGCAGTTCCATACCCAGCAATATAGGCTATTTTATGGGAAGCAAACTTCTGGGAGATGTTTTGGCAGCACCTCCACGTTTGGGTTTAGGGCATCATTTAGCAAGATGCTTTTTTTAAACAAAAAGACAAAGCCATTTTTTTCAAAAAGCATGTTCCCTGACTTCCAACTACATACATAACTCTCAATCAAGAAGAGATCCACACTCAATCCAAACATTCCAATGAGCTATGAGTTTTTGGATTGTACAGATCATCAGTTCATACTTCACACACATTACCAAGACCTATAAAGCCCACCAATCAGTCCTGTTGTTTGTTCTATATGTAATCTCAACTTTCAAGGTCCAATTGCCCAGGATATCACCCACTCCTTTGACTGATGGCCTTAATGTTTTCAATTGATCAAGTTTGCTACTGCCTTTCTTTCAAAATCAAAAAATTACACTTCATAATTAACCTTGCTTAAATATCCAATTTTCTTTTCTTTATAGGGAAATGTTTTTTCAGTTTGGAGCAAAGTAGAAAAGAAGGTGCAGGTTTTATCTCTTCTGTTTTGGCTCCGGTGTGTTTTGTTGCATCAAAGCACATTTGTTGCTTAATGATACTGATTTTTGTTGGTTAACCCAATCATACCTTCATGATTTCAAATGGTAGTGCTTTGCCCTCCCAAGGTGCGTTTCTAATAAGTTTTACTTGATCTTGTGATTGTTCTGGTGACCTGAGCACTTATATAAAACAGGTCTTTTTGCCTCAAGATACCACTCATCATTCTATTTTCTGATGTCCTGTACCATCAATTGTGCCCCATTAGACTTTTTCAATTCAAATTATGTATATACATTGCTTGTCCCCAGATTATCTCTGATCATTCATCTTTCCTTCAAACACTTTGAGTTTAACTCACAATATTCAGGGCAAATTCAATAACCTTAACTCCTCAAATCAAGTCTTGATCTATGGTTCAAATTTCTCCACATTAGAAAACTAAACATGTTTTTCTTGGCTAGATTATTGGTAACTGGCTTGAATATCTTTGTGAGCTTGAAAATTTGAAATCATGAGGTACCCAATCTATGAAGTGTTTGTTATTGAAGGGGATGAAAGAAGACTACTTTTTGAGGCTACTTGTGTTATTCACTGAGCTTATCCTTCAGGCAGGATGCAAAACATTTTTCAAACCTTGTTCAGATGCTTAACTGTGATACAGTTCAGTGGTAAGACATACATGATGCTTACTAGATTGTCTTGTTGTGATTGAATCCAACATACAGATAATTTTTTTAGTATTCTATATGAGTATGAGTGATTAATATTATATATGAGGAAGTCTTTATTGGAACTTTATCATTTTGTCATCATCAAGGTGTATGAGGTTATGCTACTTAATTTGTGGTTTCAAATTCCCTTCAATTGACCATTAGCCATGTTCAAACTAAACCCGGTTGACTCAAAAACCCAGTACACCCAGTTGCATTTTTGGTGGTAACTTTGTGTATCTAGCAACAGCTCTTGACAGCTTCCAGCCAAAAATTCAACCAGGTGTACCGGGTTTTTGTGCAACCAGGTTTGGTTTGAACACAGCTATTGTACAAGTTCAACTATGGTGAGAGACACCAAAGATAAGGAAATCCCTGAATAATCTTGAAATTTTACGCAAGCCCACAGTTCTCAACTTGGTGAGAGGTCAAGGGAACTTTTGAGATTCTCTCATCCAGAGCTTCCCAAAACTATCTTTTTAGAGCTGTTGCAAGACTTTTGTGGCCTTTTCATGTGAGGTATTCATTTATTTCAGAGAGATGAGCTTGACATGTAAGATACCCCAGTTTGCATAGCTCTTGTGATGTTAAATGAAACATTCTAAAAAGCTACTTTTGAGGAGCTCTGGCTGAGGTGATCTTACAAGTACCCTCAGCTTCTCACCAAATTGAGAATTGCAGGCTCGCGTAGAATTTCAAGATTCTTTGGGCTTTTCCTCATATTTGGTGTCTCCCACCATACTAGAGCAAGAAAAACATGATGGTAGGAAAAAAAAGGTAGAGATGACAAAATTAGGCCTGATGATTTGGGTAGACTCATCTGTGACCAAATGGTTGAAAGCATCAAGGAAAACCAACAATAGACCTTCATTCTTAGGGCATCATGTTGAACTCGAGCCAAGTCCAGGTTTGTTGAAGCTAACTCTCCACCTGTACTCTAGTAAAGAATAAAAAACATTGGAACTGAGTGTTTTGTAAGCAAGCACACGGATCAGGTGTGAGCCAAAGGACTTGAGCAATCTGGTAAGTTTTTTTTGCTGTAAATACGTGCAGAAAGGTCCCCGGAGAGCTCTTATCGAGGTGCATGATGTAATTTTTTTTCCTACACTACATACACTTCACCACAGTTTACATTCATGAAAACTTGACCAAATCCTTTGCTCCTCCCTCAATAATGGCTATCCAGGAGCAAAGCACTTTGTTAAATGTGATATTCATACCTAAGAGTTTTTAAGGCGGTGTAGAGGCTGTGAAATACACAGCCATTCACAGCAAACATAAGAAAATAAAATCTTTTACATCACACACCTCTACAGCGGGAGCTCTCCGGTTTCCTGTGCAGAAGTGTTGAATAAAGAACAGTTCAAGGAACTCTTCTTTGTGTTTTGGTAGGTTTGAATTTGATTGATTGATTGATTGTATGTGAAAGGTGATAAGTCGAAATCTGTGAAAGGTGAAAGTGATAGGTTTCCAAAATTTAATAATTTTTTTCTTTGAATCAAACTTTTTCCAGTCGCTCTACAATATGATTCACAAGAAATAACCAAATCCAACCAAACAAATCACATCCAATCTCCTCATCCAAGGATCATCGATCGATTCTCAACAAATCAAAATCAGACACTCAAAAACCTAAAGACCATGACAAACCAATCAACCAACCCAAACTCAACTTCAAAAAGAAAAAGATCAAACCCATCAACCAATACCAATACCATGTCATCAAACCCAACCCCAACCATATCAAGTTCATTAACCAATCCACTCTTACTACCAACGACTCCAAACCTACAAAAAAAACCAACCATAAACGATCCAACACCACCCAAACTAATAGTAGTTCTAAGTCAAGCATGTTTAGAAAACTATGCCCAAAACCTTAATCATTCAAATTCGAATTCGAAAGCCAAAAAAGAAATCAAATATTCTTTATTGAATTGTGATGATCATCAAAACGTATTAAGTAAATTAGGAAAAGATATCTCAACAGCTAGACCTGATATAACTCATCAAGTTCAGTTCATCCCCCAATTCCTCCTATCTTCCTTTCAAACCTCTAAGACTTACGTTTTTCGTTTTTCTTTTCGGGTCTAGTGTTTACTTACTTTACTTGATTCTCCAGTTAATAGAGCTGGTAGATTACAAGTTTATATCCAAACGGCTAAAGGCGTTTTAATTGAAATCCATCCAACCGTTCGAATTCCAAGAACTTTTAAACGATTTAGTGGTTTAATGGGTTAATTACAAATCAAATCTAAAATCCAATCACTTTTTCTTTATACGGCTTTTTGTGTCTAACCTTTTTTGTGTTTTTTTTGGTTTCTTTAGTTCAATTACTTCATCAATTATCAATTCGTTCTACAACAGGTAAAGAAAAACTACTAAAAGTCATCAAAGTAAGTCATCCGATTTCTTCTTCTTCTTCTTCTTCAATACCTATTAATCTCTTTCTAACCATCTTGAATATTTTATCTGATTTTTTTATTTGATTTTTCTTTCATTAGAATCCAATCACAGATCACCTACCACCCAACTCACACAAAATCACTCTTTCCTTCGATGCAAAACCCGTAAAACTTTCAACATATATTCCTGCTTTACCATCTGATCAAAACTTGGTGGTTTTTGTAGGTGCAATGGCTCATGGAGCTGTAAGTGTTTTTTTCTAATTATCTTTCTACAAGTTTTTTCCAAAGAGATCCCAATTTATAAAACTAAACTCGTTTTTCGTTTGATTGATTTTCTTTAGGACGATTTTGCTGATCATATAGTGGATGAAAAAATAGCTATTAGTCAATACAGTCTTTCAGCATCAGTTGCATGTGGAAAGGTTTGTAAAAAATCATTTTCTCTCAACCTTACAACCCTTCCATAATCTTTTTTCTTTTGAGACTGATTTTTTTTGGTTTTTCTTTCTAGTTTTGTTGTGCAGTTGAAGATCATTGGGATATCCTTTAACAAAAAATAATCAAAAGATTTCAATTCGTACTTGGATTTAGTAGTTTATACCAAGATTGTTTTGTTTTGGATTGTTTTATTTCATTAATTGATGTTCAACCACCATTTAATCAATATCAATCAAGTTATTTTTTTGTTTATGTTTCACAAATTGGATTTGGTTTTTTTGTGGAATTCTGAATCTGAAGAAAAATTGAAGAAAAATCAAAATTAAGTTTTGTTTCTTTGTTTCGGTTTGGATTTGTTTCTTTTCCTTTTCCATCTACAATTCAATTGTACAATTCATACATAAAGAAAAGAAAATATATATACAAAAGAAACCAATAAAATTGAAACGGAAAGTTCATTTCTTAGCCTTAAATCCACCCGAGAATCCCATCAACTGACACATCTCAACATCATCTTTTCCCACCAAATCTTTTTGTTCTTGTTGTTCTTTCAATAATTTACGTTCAAGTTTTTTAGCTTTTTTATTAATTCGATTCGATTCTTCTGCTTCTTTAATTTCATTTAATCTTCTTTTAAAATCATAAGATTTCGAATCAGTTGAAAGTAAAGTAGAAGTTCTTAATTGTTGAATCTTTTCTCTAACTTGATCTAAGGTAGATCTTTCAACTTGAGTTTTTTGTCCTAGTTGTCTTAAATCTATTTACCAAAAACCAAAAACCAAACAAAAAAACAAAGAAGATATATAAAGTTTTATAAAATTCTCAATGTTAGTTAAATTGTATTCTTTTCTTTTTGGTGAAGGGAAGGGAAAGAAAACTTACGAAAACGTGAATTTAAATGATCTAAATAAGATGAAGAATCTTTTGAAGTTCGATTACATACATTACAGTAAAACCCAGGTGCACCTGGACCTCTTATACTACCTTGTACAATCATCGTTTTGTTTTGCTAGAAGAAAAAAAAGAAAACAGAGAAAACAGAGAATTGAATTTCATCAGTTTATTTACTTTTTCAATTTAGATAAAGAGGATATAAGAAACTTTTTGGGAGGGGGTTTTGGGTCTTACATTTTTCGTTAATTCTAATGGTGTTTCTCTTTGTTTCATTAATTCAGTGGGTTTAGGTAAATCATCTTTAAGTTTTCGTTTTGGTTTTTTACCTTTTTTTTTCCCATCACCCCCATCCGTCGCAAAAAAAAATAATCAAAAATGTTAGTTTTTTCTTTTCTTTTCGATGAATATAAAGAATTGATAAAAGTTCATAAAGGTTTTTTTGTGTGGGGATGATTACATACCATTTTGTAAAGATTCTTCAACTTCTTTCATTCGATTTCTTTCTTCTTCATCTCTTTGTTTTGCTTTTTCTTCATATTCTTTTTTATCCCATGTTTTACGACTTAAAGCAAAAATCAAAAAAATCAAAAAAAAATCAAAAAGAAAAATTAATTAATTTAAATTCCTTGAAAGATTCAAACTTGATTTTTCTCAAAAAAGAAAAAGGTATAAATTAACTTACAAATCTGTACCTGCCTATATGATTTTTGATTTTTTGGTTTTGATTTTTTTTTAGTTTTGATAAATCAAAAAACCATTCGAAATAAATTGATTTTAAAGAAACCCCGTTTTGAATGGTAATAATAATGATGAAGTACTAACAGCTGAAGTACCATATGCTCCTTTTCTGTCCATTCTGATTGACTGATTCTTGAATGTCTTCTTGTCTTCTCTTGGTATCGTATTTGATTGATTTTGATGTGTTAAAGTTCAAATTTGGAACAGGTCCAGTTCACCATGATCACATATACCCCGAGAAAGTCGGTGCTTTTCGGATCGGACTTCATTCATCAACTTGATCGGTACTGTGCCGACGCCGTACTTTGATTCTCAAGCTGCACTTTGGTCTTTGAACTCATGGACTCATCAAAAGGATTGGATCTACATACATATGTGACTAAAGATAAGATAGAATACAATCAAAGTGTCTAGCAAGATAATCAATCAAGTAAGTAGTTTTCAAAGCTTGTAAGTTTTCACAAGTTTCCCTTTGATTTCATTTGATAGGGGAGAACAGGTATTGATCTCAATAATATTCCTTTAAAAATAGAAATTCCAATCCTTGATTCTGTTGCTTGGTTTACTACTACAAGCACAGAATCTGAAGGCCAAGCAAGACGATTTAATGATCGAATTTCAATTGATCATCACTATCTTCGAATGTGTGAACACCCCAAAAAAATCCCCATATATTTACTTTTCCTAATTCATGAATCATACGATTTTATGTTTATATTCTAAATACAACAATCTAATTCTTAAATCTTTTACTATCTTTAAACTTTCCAATTTCAAATCATCTTTAACAATCCTTTGAACGATTTCATTAATCCTTTCAAGTTGATATCGATTATAATCTTTTAACCAAGGTTTCCAATTGATTAAAATCCCATATAAAATCATCAAAATCTTATTTTTAAAATTATCTAGAATCATTTTCAAAAAAAAAATCAAATCAAAATCAGATTTTCTAATCAAAAATCGAAATCTCAACCATCATAAACTCAAAACAGACTAAACCTTCAAAATGAAAACTATCAAGAACTTTAAAAATAAAGGTCAATGGTTCCATTTCACACAATTGATAGCAGATGTTTCCATGGGATCAATCCCACCTCGATCAATCACATTCTTTAAAACTTTCCACATCTCCTTCCAATTCTTTCAAAGACGAAAAGATCAAACTTTTTTTCAAAAACGGGGGATT